TTTATCTAAAATAGTTAAGAGCTGAGCTGTGAAAAGATGCTTTCTTTTTCTTCTTGCAGACTGCAAATGATAACCTGCATACAGACGATGAGCATGAACTTGGAGGGGATAAAGAAAGCTATCTCTGTGCAGTGTGCCTGGATGTTTATTTCAATCCTTACATGTGCTATCCATGCCACCACATCTTTTGTGAACCTTGCTTAAGGATGCTTGCCAAAGACAATCCAGCCAGCACTCCGTGTCCACTGTGTCGCACTACAATTGCCAGAGTTTTTTTCCAAACAGGTATAAAAATGAAATTTTTTTACAATACAGAAAAATATTTGTAGCTTTCCTTCCTGTATTTCTGGTCTGAGTAAATCCACAGTTAGGAAGTTAGTTTTACTAAGTTTAGTAAAACCCTCCTAACCAAATATAGACATAAAAAGAAGGGAGAAAGAAAAAAGTAATAATATGCAATGGGTCACAACCACAATGCATGCAGATCAAAATTTGTTGATTTGAGGCTTTCTTTGCATTTAACTCTTCCTAGGAATGTTCCATGCAGGCTTTCTGCAGTGGTAGGGAACTATTTTGAATGCATATTTTAAAATCTGTTGATTTTTGCAGTGAGATTCTGATATTTTGCATTTATTTGTTTTCGTCTTGCGAAATAATAAAAAAAATCCAAATATAGTAAACGTTTTCTCAAAATCTCCTACAAAAAAAGCATTTTTACAGTTACTAACTTAATAACACCATGTGGCTTTAATTTGTCTACAAGCGAAAGGGCTAGCAGAACAATAGAATCCTCCTCATTAATCTTATTTTTAAAGTCTACTTTCCCAGCCTGTTACACCCTCATCACTGTTGGTCCTGACTTTCAGCAGTAGCAAAACGTGGTGGGTAAGGGGTGTTTGATGCCAGAGCAGGTACAGGAGGATAAGTGATACTGTAGATGGGATACCTGGAACAACATGAGTCAGTCTTCTGTGCTTGGAGCTTTAAAAGGTAAATTCAAGCACTGTGGATAAATTTGTGCAATAATATCTGGAGCTAAGCCCTTTACAGCACATAAAACTGTGTATAGACAGAGCACAAAATAATGGAAATGACTCAGCCATGCAGGAATGTTTGTTTATTTTTGCATGCTGCAGAGATCTTGCAGTGATCCTTTTTAAACTGGGAGAGAGCTGTGATGATGACAGGTTGGGAATGCAGATTGAAGTTGATTTCACATTGATCAGCAGACCTGCCCAGCTTCTATTTCTGGTTATGCACAGACTCTTCATCTGCACAGGCACAACTTTGTATAATTTGAAAGCAGACCAGTTCAAGGAGCTGACTGGGCTAAATAAGAACTCATCTGGGTGGAAAGGAGGTATTTTTCAGACAAGCTAGTTACCTCAGGATGGTTCAATGGGTAGCTGCTGGTGGCCAGGGATGGGCGCTGACTATGTCAGCACTGCAGCAGAGAAAATGGGTGGAAAGCTGCAGCCTGACCACTCTGAGCACCCTGCCTGGTCTAGGGAGTTTTCAAGCTGTTCTCATTTTATATCCTTAATGTTTGATGCTCCTCTGCATCTTATGTACAGGTGAAATGCATTTCAGCAGTAGACAATTACTTTTAGTTAGTTTAGGGCTACTTAAATTTTAAAAACGGTATTTAACAGGTTTGCTGCAGTAAAATGTTACTGGGAAGGCACAAAGAGAGAATATGGATGTTTGCTAAAATGTATTGGCGAAACTTTTGAACACTTTTGAAGTACTGTCATTTAAGTGAAGTATTACTAGGATTGCTTGTAGCTTTTGAGTGCTTAGTATGAAATGTGTAAAAATACCTGATGGAGGGGAATGAAGAAGAGGGAGCCAGAGTTTTCTCAGTGGTACATGCTCACAGGACAAGAGGCAGTGGGCATAAACTGTAACACATGAAATTCCATGAACATAAGAAGACACTTTTTCACTGTAGATGTGGTGAAAGAAATTGCTCAAAGAGGCTGTGGAGTCTCCATCCTTGGAGACACTCCAAACCCAACTGGACATGCCCCTGGGCTACATGTTGTAGCTGACTCTGCTTGAACAGGGTGGGTTGAACTAGTTGATTTCAAGACAACCCTTTCAACCTAATTAATTCTGTGAAAATATTATAAGTGTATGTAGTTCTTTTTTTAAAAAAGGATGATATGTCTAAAGTGTAAATATAATGTCATAAATATGTAAATATAGAGTCCACTGTAAATAGAGAGCCATAGTAGTATATGAGGTATGATTAGTATTAAGAACTTCAAATGAGAGAAATCCCTATGGCCTTACAGCAGGTATTTGGGTATTGCTATTCAGTATATAGCAATATATGCTTGACTTAGCAATATACCTGAAAATAGATACACTAAATTTACTTTTTTAAATAGATGTATACCAAGAAAAATATCTTGTAATATCCCAGCACGTAACATGTTGACCAGTTTTTAAATCAACCAATAAATATTGATGATGATATCATATCCTTAGACAAATTAGTTAAATCAATGCATTAAGGAAGGTGGGTGATGCCAAACCAATGTAAAAGGTAGTAAATATTTTTTTTTTACTCAAGTGATTTATTAGACCTTTTCAAAGTTATGCTGTAGTCACTGCTGCTACAGGCAGCGAAGCAAAGTTGCTACCATTCTTTGTAACGCTCCAGCTGGAATGTCTTATTTCCCTCACTAAATTACTCCTTTCTGCATCTTTCCTGCAGAAGGGAACTGCGTTTTATTTTACAAGGATATCTCAAAAAGAAAACATTTAAGGATATATTCAGAAGTTCACTTTTTAGCCTGTACAGTTTTGCAGAGTGAACATAACTCCAACAGAAAGATGCATGTAACATGTCAAAAAGGTTGAGGGCTAACAGGTCAATTATCCAGCAATTACAAAGATGAAGAGTGGTTAACCCAGAGCTGCAACACCAGATGTGACACACTAGGATACTTCTTCTGGCCTGTTGCTACGATCAAGTGAGCCCTGTCCACTGGGGCTTGAGAGTGAGTTCCAGTCCAGATCGGTTGTTCCAATGGTGTCTGCTGTTCATCCTGGTCTTCCCTGAAGGCTTTCTTAAAAGACCTATTGCCATCCAAATAAACGCACATCTGGTCAGATGATAGGGTGCCCAGGACACACCTAAGACAGCAGCTTTTGATCTGATTGCAGCAACCCACTTCAAGTAACTCTGTCTTTTAAATGCTTTTCCTGTCAAGGGAATGAGTGAGACAGGGACTGATTTTTATACTTCCATCCGTATAAAATTCCATTTACGTTTGGTTCCAAGAAGGGCTAGGTCTGACACTCATGCAGAATAAATCCACCACTTCGAAGAAATCATAATGGTTGTGCACAGGAACTCTGGGCCTGCGTCCTGGAGGGGGTCACATAAATACACAAAGACGGGGGTCTGGCCAGCCTGAAAGGATCTTGCTTTAAAAGCCTGAGCAAGCAACCTTCTAAAACCCAGTAAGAGTTGTCACCATGCCCTTTTCTGAAGAACAGAAGTTAGATACCTCACCAGAGATTTTTGTGTTTAAATTTAGGTAATAAAGTTGAAAGAACTGAGTTGATTTTTGTGAACTGTAAAAGTAAACTAAAATACTCTCTGTTGATGCCATGTGAAGAGTCTCATCGTAGGCTGCTTCTCTGAATCTGAGTAGTATGTTCAGTAGCATAGAAAACTCTTATATAAAAATTAAAAAAACTAGTGAAAAATACAAAGTTTTTCCTGTTACATTTAGGAGAGAAAATGACTCCTTACCCTTCACTGACAGAGGTTTATGGGTGCAGCAGCTCTGTTCTCACATGTAAGAAGATGTAAAGATTTGGAGAGTTCTTTACTCTGTGTGTGTTGCGTAGCCCCATTTAACCTGCATTCTGACTCAGTGAAATACAGGATAATTTTTGAAATAAGACTAGCACTTTTTTTTTTCCTTCAAATCTGCTAATGCCTTCCTCTTACACAGAAGAAGTTACTGCAACCGAAGGGCATTTGAAATTATTTCTTTTTTCTAGAGCTTGCTCACAGAAAGCTTAGCTTTCTCAAATTGCCAGAGAAGGAGATTTGATCCTTTAATGAAATAGTGATTATTGAAAAAGTATGTACAATTTCAGTGAAGCAGGTGAAGTAATAATACATAGACCTTTTAAAAGATCTTAAAAGGGCCTTCTCTTTCTTTTAAGGTACAGAAGGAATTATCATAATGGCCGCTAGCGTTTATCTGGAGCTATGGTGGTTTGAAAGGCTAAAATGAGGGGAGGTTGAAATTTTGAGTGATAACTCTTAGCTTGGCAACTCTCTCTGTTATCAGCAGATCTCTTTCTCCCTGTGGCAGGAAAATGCGGTTATTTAAAAATTGTTTTCCGTTACAGTATTGCTGTGGATAGTCGACTTAGTTTTTGGCAGTTTTGAGTGGTAGTCCATGTAGATGTTTCCCCAAATTATATCCTAAGAAGTAGATGATTACTTGAGATTAATAAGTTATGTTAACTCTTACAATGTGTAATTAATCATTCTACAAATGTGTTCTTAATTCCTGTTAATCCCTGACACTTAAAAAAACTCAAAAAATATTCAGTTGCTTTCTCCTTATGTTACTGTTACTGAGTGATAGTGTTAAACAAAAAGCAGTATAAACTGAGAATTAATGCCACTGTCAGCTTGACAGATGTCATTTTCATTCATAGAGGTCAGTAAGTTTAATAGCCTATTATGTACTTCATTTTAATAGAATTTGACATCGTCTTTCCTAAATGCTTTTATTCAGAGGAACAAAAACAAACCAGCATGTTTAAGACTTTTTCTTGATATATCTGGAAGTACTTGAGTTTATGGGATTTTAAAACAACTTACGAGATTTTATAATCAGAAAAAGGATTACACATTACATAAGACATTCTTATTTTGTAGTGTAAATGTATGCAAATTATTGTATATTTACAGCACTGATGTATACTTTCTTTCCCATTAATTGTTGTAGAACTGAACAACTCTACGAAATCTTTTTTCCCTACGGAATATTTGAAGTTAAAAGAAAATTTTCAAAAATCAAATTCTGCAAAATGGCCTCTGCCAAGCTGCACGAAAGCCTTCAGAGTTTTTGAAGGTAATTATTTTAACTTTTCCCTAAAATTCACTAGGTTTTTTGTGTAGTATTTGAAAATAAGTCTCTTGCTAATACATGCCGTAGGAAATCAGAGATGGATGGTTGTTGAAGTGGAGCTGAGTAGAGCTATGTAAACAGTTTATCTAAAGATAAATTGTGAGTTGTAAAAAGGCATTTCATGTATGTCTCTTATTATTTATTCTTAAATCTTTAATTTTGTGCCTATTATCAGGATAATTCTCTGTAGATTCCCATTTGGAAAAAAATTGTGTCTACGTAGTGAAATAAAGAAAAATACTCAGGGAGAAAAGTTACTAATTCTGAGTGTGGTCAATAAAAACCTCTAAGAAAAAGTCAGTCTTTTATGAAAGAACTAATGTAAAAATATTGGAATAATATATTATTCTGCTTTGCTTGTTTTATACATACACCATGGAGTAAAGGATGTGGGTGTTTTAACTTTGTTTACTAAGAAAGCTTAGTCCTCTTCCTGCTACATTAACACTTAAGCATTTTCATAGTTATTAACTATGTAGTTAACCGAAAGATGAAGTTAGGCCACAGGAATGTGGGATTCAGTGCACGTCCATGTTTCTTTGTTTTCAATCTAATGGCCTTTCTCCACCAGGCCTCATCTGTGTTTGCTTATATGATTTTTTTGATGCTGAGTCTTGCTAGCAGATATATTTTTCCTATTTGTAAGAACAATGTAGGTTGCTTCTATAAGTGTGCAGAAAAAATACTACAGGACATTGTTTTTACATTCCTTTTGTGAATCTATTCAAGCCTTTGTATAGGTTAAACTTAGTAAACTCTCATCCCCTGCTTATAAAAGTGTGTCACACAAGGTCATGTTTTGATACTGAAAATAACAAGAAAAGATCCTAGCTTATCAAAAATGAGCAGACTTGAGAAGTTTGAGAACTGATAGACCATCTTTGGTTATTGCTCAAGGGCAAAGCTATTGGCAGGAAAAACATAGTGTTTCTTTTCTCTAGCATCAGTTAAGGTAGTGTGGATGTTACAATCGTAGAATCATAGCATTGGTCAGGTTGGAGAAGACCTTCAACAACATCTACACATCTTTTAAATACCTTCAAAGGATGGTGACTCAACCACTTTCCTGGGCAGCTTATTGCAATGCTTGACCACCCTTTTGGTGAAGAAATTCTTATTAATATTCAATCTAAACTGGTTAGTTTAAAATAGAATTTAGATTGAATATTCCTTTCAATATTCAATCTAAATTCTAGTACAACTTGAGGCCATTTCCTCTTGTCTTGTCACTTGTTACTTGGGAGAACTATGACTTTCTTTGAGGTAGTTGTAGAGAGCAATACGGTCTCCCCCTCAACCTCCTCTTCTCCAGGCTGCACAATCCAGGTTCTCTCAGCCACTCGCCACAAGACTTGTTCTCCAAACCCTTCACCAGCTTTGTTGCCCTTCTCTGGACATGCTCAAGAACCTCAGTGTCTTTTCTTGAAGTGCGGAGCCCAAAACTGAACATATACGAAAGTGAAAGCTTTTAATAAAACCTATTGATACATTTTTGTATCTATCTTTAAAATTGAGTAAAACAATTTAAAATATACTGTCTTGATTCAAGATTCTTGATTTTGTGATTTCAGTTAGATATGCAATAAAGGATGTTAACAGCTGTGAAAATTTACAGCTGTAAGATTAGATTTTGGGTTCATACTTCCCTGTTCAAAAGGAAGGAAAGAAGTGATCACTGCTGTGATCTCCTAAGAGAAACAAGATAGATGTTCCTGAAGACAGAAGATGCAGCATTGATTTTAGCTATAAAGAGTAATGCTGGCATTTAAGAAGTCTCTCAGAATAAGCTTTATACTGAACTTTTTTCTCAAGTGCTACTATTCTATCCTTCCTTATTGCACTTTTTTTTCTTTCAGTTAATTTCCTTATTTCTTTGTTTTGTTTTTTCTTTTTTCATAATACTCAAGACTGCATACAATGCTTCTTCCAGAAGGCTGTCCTTTTTTAGCCAGGAACCATCAGATTGTTCAGTACAGCTTGTGGAATCACAAAAAGCTAATTTGCACACATGCGTTTCTCACAACATGGATTTACAGTCTACAGTCTTGACAGTAAGTGAATTTTCTGCCTTAAGGAGACACACGTCACTGGAAGTGTTGTCTTTGAGCATCTGTTACACCTATAGTACACTAAGACACGAAACATGGAAAGCAAGCACTGCTGGTTGAATGTGTCTTAGGTCAGCTGCGCTGATGGCAACCTTGTTATTTTGCTGATGTCAGCACCTGGACCCTAACACTTGCACCCACTTTCCTTGTCTGCAAGTCCTTTCAGCTGCAGTGGGTTGCTGGTAAGAAACACAAGACTTATTTCTTGATTCCAAGGTGCAACTTGGGGTCCCATGGAGCAGCTGTGCTCTGACTAGCCTTCAAACCTTCACTTCTGCACTTCACCAAGAAGTGAATCTGAAAGAAAAGCAAAATGAAACAAAAGAGGAACTTTAAGGTACAAAGGTCAGTGCTACAGAGATATCCTAACTTCCAGCCCTCTTAACACTGTTACTTTCTGTCCCTGTTTTTTTTGTCGACAGGATTAAAACGAACCATCGTGCAAGTATCAATAGCCTTGCTTATCTTTTAAGCTGTTCTGCAGAGGCTGTTCATTAGAGACTTCTTCACAGCTGCAGTCCTACTGGAAAAGATATTTCACAGCCTTTTCCCACTTCTGAAGACAGTGTCCAGAGCTAGGCTGTGTAGGAGAACAATACACCTCTCAGAAGTTATGGCTGCTCATTCTTCTCTGTTGGTTCATCAGTGCATTGAAGGGAATCAGGATTGCTTGTTTCCATTTAACCGTGATTTTGCAGGACTGCTGTACCAGGAATATTGATAGCTGTAATTATACAACACCAAGGATTGTGATAGAATGGCCATGGCAAAAAAACCCAATGCTTTACTCTTTCCTCATATATTTCTTGATATTTCCCTCAATAGATGTTAGATTGGGATCTTTAGTTCTGTGAGAAGGTGCTAGAAAACCAAGCATTCATACTGGCCAGTGGGAGAAACTAAGAACATTTTAGACCTCAGACACAGCCATGGCCCCATAAGTGTACCAGAGAGACAGTGCAAATAATGACAAGTACATGAGTTTAAAATTTTTTTGATCTTTAAATCCCATAAGATGTTATTAGAAATAAACATGAAACTATAAAGCCTGAAATAAATGCACCTTGGTTTCCTATAGATTCGTATATCACAATTTAAGCTCTGACTGGAGCTTTTCCTCTGATATGGGAATTTATAACCTCTCACAAAAGATGAGAGGGACCGAATGAAAATGAATTAGAGGTATCGTGCTTTTTACCCCACGGGTTACAAATTCCAGAAGAAGGTTCTTTTCTGAAGATTCTCAAAGAAACAGCTGTGTTCAGGATAAGAGGGAAAGTTCTCTCGTCCATTCGTAGCTGATTAAAAGATACCAAAGAGTGGAAGTAAATGATTCGTCTTTCTCACTGGAGGGACATTAGCTGTCTGATCCAAGATGCGTATATGGTACAGTTTGTACTACCCAGCGTATTTGTTACTAGAAATGGAAATAATATTTGTTTACAGTACTGAAATATATGGGATAATAATAATGAATGCCAAGTGCAAGCAGTGGCAGAAGGCTGTCACGGTACTGAGTGATCTTCAACAATGTTTGCATTGTTTCCCTTTCATTGCAAAAGGAGGTAGTAAACTGGAAGGCTTCAGAGAAGATAAACAAGAATGTCAGTTTTAAATTACTGCCCGACTAGGAATATGTAAATAGGCTAGAATGCTTCAGCCAAAACAAGAGATGACTAAAGAGGGCGGATGATAGAGGTAATTAAAATTATGAGAGGCTTGACAGAAGTGAATGGGCTGCTCTTATTCACTGTCTCATAATAAAAGAACAGGAGGACATTAAATAAAATTATCATTACCTCAGAGTTTGGTTTCAAATACTGGCAGATTCTTGGGAGAAAAATTAAACTCAAAAGATACCACATTTGCCTGCTGAGAGCCTTGAACTGCAAGTCCGTGGGACCTGAGAGAGAATACCAGGAAAATATTGCACTCTGCTTGCCCTTTTCTTATGTTTCCTCCCCATTCGCCAGTTCCTCACTGTATGACCTTGTCAGCGAAAGAGTTGTAGAGTAGGAAGACCTTTAGTCTACTCCTACTATGCCTACTCTTACGACATATCCTAAAATTTGATGACAATGATGTCTTGTGTTACAACTTGGGTATCGTAAAAGGATTTTATGTATTTCTCAAATAATATTGCATAAATATTTATCTACAGACAGTTGAGAACAATACATAGTCCTAGTAAAACCACTCTAGGTAACATTGGAATTAATAGCTTTTTGAAGTGATAGTCTGTCTTCACAGAATCTGTTTGAAACATAAAATATCTCTTGGTCTTCATTTTTAAGTTTTATGTAAGATTCTACTGAGACTAGTTTAGATTATGACAGGTCACAGAATCACAGAATGTTAGGGATTGGAAGGGACCTCAAAAGATCTAGTCCAGCCCCCCTGCCAGAGCAGGATCACCTACAGTAGGTCACACAGGAACGCATCCAGAAGGGTTTTGAATGTCTCCAGAGGAGACTCCACAACTTCTCTGGGCAGCCTGTGCCAGTGCTCTGTCAGCCTCACAGGGAAAAAGCTTCTTCTAATGTTTTGGTGGAACCTCTTATGTTCCAGCTTGTGTCCGTTGCCCCTTGCCCTGTCATTGGATGTCATTG